GGGATCCAAGAGTCAATGCTCAATCCTGCAGACACAATTAGGTGAGTACAATTAGGTGAGTACACACACATGAAGTATTTGTACTTGATTTCAATTAGAACAGTTTTAAAACGTCAGTTGTACTTTTGCAACAAGGGTCTACAGTTTGAGTGACGTTATAAACGTGACGTCTTTACGTTATAAAGACGACTTTATATAAATAGTTACAGTGTCACCTTTCTGCGACCAATTAAAAACGTTAACAAACGTTTTGTGTTTGATGGGAACCAAATCCCAATATAGCTCTCCCTCACTTCCATAGAAGGTAATATAGGCCTCCCTTACTTTCACAGATGGTAATCTTTCTCCCTTTCACAGAGGGTAATACAGCCCTCCCGCCTCTTCTCGGAGGGTTATATAGCCCTCCATCCCTTTAATTGAGAGTAACCTAGCCCTGAATTTCTTTAACACAGGGTAATAGAGCCCTCCCCTCCTTTACCTGAGAGTAATTTAGTCCCCAGCTGCACAGAGGTTTATATAGCCCTCACTCTCATTCATAGAGGGTTATATAGTTCTCTGTACTTGTCACAGATGGTAATATACTCCTTCACCACTGTCACAGTTGGAGTTATGTGATATGATTGTCATTGGTTGTAAAACAGGCGGGTGCTGTGGTGTTAATGTAAGGTGACAGGACCTCCTCCAGTGCTTCCATAGACCTCAAAGGTCTGTAATACCACAACTGATGCCTCAGCTTCTTTGTAAACGTATAGTATGTTTTTGGTTGCTGCAGAACATTCTTTGTGAAGTAGGATACCTGTGTATGTATCCCCTCATACTCCTGTGTTAATACAGCACCATGTCCTGTATCACTTGCTTCCTGAAGGATACCAATGTATGTATCCCCTCATACTCCTGTGTTAATACAGCACCAGGTCCTGTATCACTTGCCTCCTGAAGGATACCAGTGTATGTATCCCCCTCATACTCCTGTGTTAATACAGCACCAGGTCCTGTATCACTTGTCACTAGAAGGATACCAGTGTACGTATCCCCCCTCATACTCCTGTGTTAATACAGCACCAGGTCATGTATCACTTATCACTAGAAGGATACCAGTGTATGTATCCCCCTCATACTCCTGTGTTAATACAGCACCAGGTCCTGTATCTCTTGCCTCCAGTAGGATACCAATGTATGTTTCACCTCATACTCCTGTGTTAAAGCAGCACCAGGTCCTGTATCACTTGTCACTAGAAGGATACCAGTGTATGTATCCCCCCCTCATACTCCTGTGTTAATACAGCACCAGGTCCTGTATCACTTGCCTCTAGAAATAATGTAAACAGTTTCAGAATATCCCACGGAACAAGTATTGGGGATTAAGTTAATAGTGTTGTTTCTTAAATGATTCCTGATATGTATCATCCCATTTCCACTTCCTCTACGTGGAAGTGACTGGCCCGTCAAGGGCCAGCCACTGTTGCAAGGTCCTTACAGAACATTCTGCAACACCCATTCATACCTTGATATCTTGTCAGTTCTTGTCTACTTCTTAGTACAGGATATTTGTCTATAGCCTCAACATTTCTTCTGACTGAGATGACATATCCTTGGCAGACAATATACACAAGATACCCCAGCTTAGATATGCCAAATTCAGGCAGGTTGAAGGTTTATATTAGCCTTCTATAATCTCTCAAAACGGTTGTTTAATCTATTGAGAGGTTCCTGCCAGGTGTCAGAGTACACCACAATGTCATCTATATTCACTGCACAACCAACTGTTCCTTGTAGTTGGGTCATCTCCCTCTGAAAACAATTCCCGCTATTTTTCAAAACGAAAATGGCTGTCAGTGGATGGACGCTAGCATCCATTGGACTCTATCACCATCATTCATTCATTGTGATGATTATTTAAAAGAATTCATCATCACCACTAAGGACTCCATCCTTGTATTGATTGAGTCCATCGTGGGTTACGAAAGCAAAGATATTTTTCAGAATCTTTGAGTGAATCGGCATTCATCACATTGTATGTGTTTGTTTGGTGTGTGTGTTAAAGTACTTATAGATAAGCACTACTACCAGTAAATGTGTATGGAGAAGTTTTCATGGGACTGTAGACAGGGTGAATGTAATAAAATACTGTCTGTGGTCAAGACCTGATGGGCTGTGACTGGCTAGGCCGACCCAATCAGTCTCTCGCTGTGGGTCAACGCGGTTCTCCACTCTAACCTTTCCTCTATCTGTCTCTTTGTCTCATTCACTGTGCCTCTCCCTCTCTGTCTCTCTACTACTCTGTCTTTCTGTCAATCTCTATGTCTGTCTTTCTCTGTATATCTGCCTCTCTGTCTCTGTCTCTGTCTCTGTCTCTGTCTCTGTCTCTGTCTCTGTCTCTGTCTCTGTCTCGCTCTGTCTCTGTCTCGCTCTGTCTCTGTCTCTCTCTCTCTCTCTCTCTCTCTCTCTCTCTCTCTCTCTCTCTCTCTCTCTCTCTCTCTCTCTCTCTCTCTCTCTCTCTCTCTCTCTCTCTCTCTCTCTCTCTCTCTCTCCCTCTCTTTCTCTCTTTTAAACTAAGACCAGGGTTCATAAGGGCTGTCAAATGACGTACCTAGTGAAACTGCAAGCAAGAGCTGTTATTCTACCTCAGCTCATCTGAAGCCTGCTCCTAGGAACTCGTTTATTTCATGAGAATGTACTTTGAAACTATTATATAGGGAAGTATCATATAAGGAACCTGGTGAAACTACAAGCAAGAGCTGTAATCCTACCTCAGCTAAGATGAAACCTACTCCTAGAGGCCCATTTATTTCATGAAGCTGTATATATGCTTCTGTAGAAATAGCCTTTACTCATTAACACCATCAGGTAACAATCATATAAGTAACAGGATGAACCTGTAGCCATCAACCTGTTTAGTAAACAAGTTCCAGATGCGAGTCAGCCTAGGAGTGAATGATCACTGATGAAGCGATGTTCCTGAGAATGGCACTTTCAGCATGAGACTGTTGAAGGTTGAGAGCCTAGTGCTACGGGTGTGAATTACTGGTAGTCCACGAAGTTTGGCCAGGTGTGGAACGTTAAGGATCTTGGCCTTGTACATAACAGTAAGACCACCAACGTCACGACAGTGTTACAGGCTGTGATGTTCAGACCGTTCCCACCAGACTTTGTCAAGACTAGAGTTCAGCCTTCTTGCCCGTCTCTCCCCTTTGTCCAAAAAGTCTGATGAATGATGGGCGACAGGCGATCCAGGAAAGGGGTGCATACTCTAGATGAGAGTGAACTTGTGCTTCATATAAGATTTTGCAGCCCTTGCTGTCAAGAAGGTGTGAGATGCGCCGTAGGACTGTTAGTGTCATGGCTGCATTTTGAGCTGGAATAAGCACATGGCACTTCATTGTCATTGAAGAGTCGAACTTCATTCCCAAAATGTCAGTTTCATCTGTAAACGCTTCGGATTTGCCACCCATTTGCAAGCCTACCTGATTTGCCTAGTGCAGTCTAGGTATCATCATCGCTTGTGTCTTCTCAGCTGCAAATGTGACCTGCCATCTCCTACCCCAGGTAGAAATAGCTGAAAGTTGGTGATTGATGATTCTTGCAGCAGTGCGTATTTCCTCCTTTCTGAATGTCCTTTCCTTTCTCTCTCTCTCTCCCTTTCTCTCTCTCTGTCGTATCTGTGTTATTACTTTATCTGTCTGTCTCTGACTCTATCATTCTCTTTGTTTCTCCTCTCTTTCTCTCTTCTCACTGTCTCTCCTCTGTATGTCTCTATCATTCTCTGTCCCTCCTCTCTGTTTCTCTTATTTCTCTGTTTCTCTCCTTTGTTTATCTCTCTTTCTCTCTATGTCTCGCAGCCTCTCTCTCCTTCATTGTCTCGGCTTCTCTCGTCTCTTTGTCTCTCTTCTCTGTTTTTCTCGTCTCTTTGTCTCTCTTCTCTGGTTCTCTCTCTCTACCTATGTTGCTCTCTCTCTCATTCCCTCTTTGTCTCTCTCTTATCTCTCTTTTTTTCTCTCTGAGTTTGTCTCTATATCTCTCCACTCGCTATCTCTGTCTTACTCCTTTGAACTCTGTCTCTCATGTTCTCCGTGTCTGTGTCTTTCCTTCTCTCTCTGTATCTCATCTATGTGCTTTTCGTTTCTCAATCTCTCCTCTTTTTGATACTCTACTTCTGACTCTCTTCTCTCTCCCCTCTCTCTGTTTCTGTGTCTCTCTCTGTCTTTTCTTCTCTTTCTGTTTCTGTTTTTAACTCTCTCCTTTCTCTAACTTCGCCTCTCTCTTCCGTCGCTGTCGTTGTGTCTCTGCTCTCTCTCTTTCTCCATCTCATCTCTCTCTGTTCTCTCTCTCTCTCTCTCTCTCTCTCTCTCTCTCTCTCTCTCTCTCTCTCTCTCTCTCTCTCTCTCTCTCTCTCTCTCTCTCTCTCTCTCTCTCTCTCTCTCTCTCTCTCTCTCTCTCTCTCTTTCTCTTTCTCTCTCTCTCTCTCTCTCTCACTCTCACCCCCTCTCTCTCTCTATTTGTTTATCTCCCATCATTTCTCTCCTCTCTCTCCCTTTGTGTCTCTCCTCTCTTTATGGTTGTCTCTCTCTGCATCTCTCTCCTTCTCCCTCTTCCTTCCTTTTTCTATGAGTCTCCCTCTTTCTGTTTCTCCCTATCTGTCTCTCTCCAAATGTAACAGAGATCATTATATCTAATAATTCCAGTAATTAACAATTAGCATTAACGTTTAAAAAACCTTTTCTCTGAAACGTCATATAAAAACATTAAAAAAGTTTTATTAAACCATTATGGCCTCACAGTTTATGTTCGTTTTTACAAATTCTCTAAAAACGAGATTAAAACAGTAAAATTTAATTTTCAAACGTTTTGAAAGCGAGAAAATGTTTGCTGGGAGGTAAGTGACAATTCGTGAATAATAAATGAGTGTGTAAATGACAGAGAATGATTGAGTGAGAGTGAGTGAGTGAGTGCAGGAGAAACCAAGGAGGGAAGACAGTATCTGCCTTAGTATTTCCACTTACCTAACCAATACTCTGTGGAGGCGTTACCGAAGCTGGTCTTGTAGGCCTCCCAGTCTCTCCTGAAGTTCACCGCAGGATCAACTCTAGTGTCTCTCTGCACGAACACCGTCCATCCTCCTGAAGAACAAGTCATTGTTAGGTTCAAAATGACTCATAATAGCTGAGAACTTTCTTAAACACGTTGATTAAATTATTATAAGGAAAAGTTTCATAATAAATTAATTTATGATAAAGTGTGATAACTTCATCTCCTCCCAATTCTAACAATTACCAGTAATTTAGTCAGTGTTCAATTTTCAAAATGATACTGGTAGCATCACCAGTGTTTCCCATGGTGGGTGATAGTAGTGCTGGTAGTGTCACCAGTGTTTCCCGTGGTGGGTGATAGTGGTGCTGGTAGCATCACCAGTGTTTCCCATTGTGGGTGATAGTGGTGCTGGTAGTGTTAATTATTAATTGTAGTGTTCATGTTAGTGTTAATAATTAATTATCAATTATAAACCACCATCTCCCAGCACCTCTCAGCCCCGCCGGGAAAACCAGCCAGAACACATTTACAATATATCAGCTACTCTGTGACCCAAGGCGATATGTGCGCCAAGCGTCGTAACAATGCGGACCATTGCATGATAACAGAAGGTGATTTGGCGGCTGCCAGGGGCAGCAGGTCTCCAGACGTCCGCTCATCGTCAAGGATGAACCAGGAATCTATCCCCAGGTGGATGACAGTGGTGCTAGGATGTTGTCACCTCTATATAGTTAGATAAATTATTGAAGTCTTTCCAATATATGAGTAGAATGAATTATTAGCAGTTTGCGAGTCAGCTGTCAGGAGACTGCGTCAGTCAAAGATATTACCAGAGGTCAGATCCCTGTGGGTGTGAATGTCACCAGTGAACTACCTGTTAATACGCAAATTGTATGACGGTTATGCAATTTGCGCATAACCAATCACAGGCGAGTAGGCCTCTGACGTCATTCCATACAGAGCAGGCACTAGCCACTCTCCAAGCAGGCCTCAGTATTCTCACAGACCCAGAGTAGGTTGGACCTCGGCTGGCTAGATATATACCTTGTTACCTCACTCAATAAACTACTGAAGTGTTCTACTGTATATATCTACAACCAACATACATCCAAGAAAGCAACGAATACTGGTGGCAGCGGTGGGATTCAGAATTAATTTTATGAGCTACGAAATCATAAGTGCCCACATCACGTGTGTCCAGTGCCTCCCGCCACCCACGCATCAATATTCAATGATATTGTACCAGCAAAGGTCCAACCTACTCTGGGTCTGTGAGAATACTGAGGCCTGCTTGGAGAGCGGATTTAATAATTTTAATTTTGCCATTTCCTTACCTTAGCCAAGTTTGATATTTTTTTGAGTGTTTTTACTTTTTTGTGTACTCTATTTCTTATGACTAGCGTACTTAATTATAATTTGCGATCAACTGCCACTTCCTCGGTAGTGACAATGCCTACCACTGTTGCAACTCCTTCAGACTCAACTGGAACAGTTGTTCGTCCTAATGTCCAGAGATCAGCTCAGGAAATGGTTATCTCACTTTTTGCTGGTGAATCCCGCTTATTAGCGCCATTGGTTTAGTAAGGTTGAAGCGAAAACCGTCGCACTAGCCTACTGATGCCGAATACTTGGCAATTGTACGGTCAGCTGTTGACACAACCAAGGGTGATGCACGTTTTGTTGTTGATGAGAAAGCCATTATTAGCCTCCAGTCTTGGTCTAAATTTAAGGATTTCTTTCGCCGGCGCTTTGTTAACAAAGGAGACCTCGACCCGTATAGGTTAATCAAGAAAATTGCCAATGCCACATGCAGCCTGGTGAATCGTTTAATGCGTTTACTAGCCATCTCGGTCAATATCTGTATGCCTTAGTGTCTGCTATGATTAGTTCATCATGGGTAGATAAAGACAATACTCTGTCTCCTGAGGCTATGGCCAAAAGGAGAGCATTTGAAGCTTAAATGCATTTTGCCTCGGAGCATACTAAACCGATCATCGAGCAACAAAATTTTGGAGTTAAACATGAAATTGGTGAAGTGTTTGAGGCTGTTAACAATGCCGCCGATAAACTAGCTCCCCTAAGAGCTCAACTGTTGCCATCCTCTGATACTGTGTATGTAGTAACAAGCTCTCAGCATCCTCCCACAAACTCTCAAAACTCTTGGTCACAGAACCTCGGCTGGCCAGATATATACCTTGTTACCTCACTCAATAAACTACTGAAGTATTCTACTGTATACTGGGGGCTACGACCCATGGTCATAGCCCCCAGTCAAATTCGCCTCCTCATAAGTTGCCGAGACGCTATAGTCCACAACCATCCACTCCCTCATGTTGGCATTGTGGTAAGAGTAACCATCTCGCAAAGGACTGTTGGTCCGCTCCTAGATCATCACCCCCTAGACAATTCTTTCGGTCCCCTCGTCAATCTAATCATTCTAGGCTCCCATATTGCAAGTACCATAAACAAGTTGGTCACCACACTGCGGATTGTAGAGAGCCTAGGCAAAGGACGTCCCACTTCGTAACTCCCACTGTCAGTCTTGGCGAGGTGCACAGCGTCAGACATTATCAGAACTTTCGTAATTACAGCTCCCAGCCCAGCTATAATGTAACTTCGAATTATAATACTCGGTCACAGAATGCTGGAGCTCAGAATGTTCACTCCATGTCATCGGGAAACCCCCAAAGCCATCCGTTAACCAATTCAGGCTAGCCAGTCCTAGTGCCCTCCCTGTGTATTTAGTAACTACCCAAAATAGATTTGGACACTTGACAGAGGAGGACACTGACTCTAGCCCATTTGTAGATGTTGATGGAACCACAGTGAATTTGACCCAAACGAGACGCTGATATCCCAGACAACATAAGTCACAAGTAGTAACTTGTCCAGTCTCAAGTGATGGTCCCCCTTGTCTCAGCCATTGTCCATGGTAGAGTTTTAAAAGTTTTCTTGACTAAGGTGCAAAAATTAATATTGTCAAGCCCTCAGCTTTTAGAGATATTGCAAGTAAGCACCCCTACTACAGTAAGAAAGTCACCCAAACCATTTCTAAGTAGTGTTTCAGGAAATAAAGTAAAAGTTCAGGGTGAAATAGACCTCCTACTCAAGTTAGATGACGTCACATTGTCTATAACATGTTTAGTTGTTGACAATATCCATTTTCCTGGCAACATTCTCCTAGGTCTGTACACCATGATTGATGAAAATATTGCATTGTTTCCCCATCGTTGGAACATTAGTATCAAAGACCATGTCATACCCTTGTGTAGCATGTATCGACAGGGCCATGAGTTCAACCTTCAATCAGACTACGTTAATTTTGTCGACACCAGCCTTGCTAGCATAGGTTTGTCAGATCCTTGTCACGGTAGCATACCCGAGAAAACAGGCACTCGATTGAAGCATAGTAGTTGTGCAGTTGTTAAGGAGAGTGAGTATCGGGACTTTCTGGAAGGGAACGCCGTAACGGATTCTCGTTGTCTCGATCGCCTGGCAGCTTCCATCTCTGAAGTCAGTGGTTCCACGGATACTGACACTGTGCTGCACTCTCATTCTCTCACCAGAATAAGAGTTAAGGTTCAGGGAGTGCCTGAGTTATCGGATGTGATTGCGGAATGTGAAACGTGTAAAGTGAATGGTACGTATGTTGAACCCTCCTGGCACACAGTGCAGGATGGTACTGTTACATTGTATATTGCAAACACTAGTAATGCCAACATCCATCTCCAGTCTGGCGCCCATGTTGTAGATTTTGCCCATTACTCGTTACCGGTGCAAGTTGTGGATGATGTCTCCATGGATCATACTGTTTGTACTCTCACACCAGGAGGACAGGGATCTCAGCCAGAGGTGCAAGTGCTACACCTCAGTCCTACTGATTTTCCTTACTCTGTGGTTCAGCTTTTGGAAATTTTGAACAGGAATAGAGCCGTTGTTGCTCTACCAGGAGAAAAGTTAGGTCTCACTCCTCTTATTACACATAAATTTCCCCTTGAACAAAGAACTATGCCTATTTATGTACCAGCTTACCGTCTTCCCCATTCTCAGAGAGCAGAAGCCGATAGACTTGTAGAGGAAATGTTACAGAGTGATGTAATTGAGTCGAGTAATTCGCCATGGAGCGCTCCATTGATTTTTGTACCAAAGCGAGATGGGACTTGGAGACCTGTAATCGATTAATCGGAAGCTTAACAGAGTAACTATACCTAATCGTTTCCCACTTAAAGTCCTAAATGATTTGTTGCAAAGTATAGGTTGAAACAAAGTATTTTCAACATTAGATTTGTTGCAGGGATTCTGACAAATCTCCCTTGATGAGGAAAGTAAGCAGTTGACAGCCTTTAGTACTCCCAATGGTCATTTTCATTTCAAAAGAATGCCATTTGGTTTGCGGAGTAGTCCAATAACCTTTTCACGGCTCATGACGAATCTATTTCATAGATTGATAGGAAGTACTCTTCTAGTTTACCTTGATGATCTCATAATCATGTTGCAAGATGTTCAGACCCATTTCCAGAACCTTGAGAAAGTACTTGCAAAGCTCGCAAAAGCTAATTTAAAAATAAAGCTTGCGAAGTGTTCATTTTTAAAGGAGAAGATTTATTTCCTAGGCCATACAGTTACACCTTCGGTATTACATTGAATGAATAAAAAATTATTGCTGCCCGTGATTTTCCAACGCCTCGTACCGCAGAAGCCGTAAGACAGTTCACAGGTCTTGTAAGATTTTATCGTTCATTTATTGCTGGATTCTCTTTTATAGCCGCTCCACTTTACAAGTTACAAAGAAAAGATGAACCCTTTGTTTGGGGAGAGGCCCAGGATCAGTCATTCAAAAAACTCAAGGCAGACTTGATCTCGTCATCTGTCCTTAGGTACCCAGATTTTTCTAAACCTTTTACGTTGGTTACAGATGCTAGTGACATAGGTTTAGGTGCTGCATTACTTCAAACAGAAGGTCACAGAGATCACGTAATAGCTTATGCTAGCCGCACATTATCTAAAGAAGAGAAAAATTATAGTGCAACAGAACGTGAAGCCTTGCAGTTGTTTGGGCTCTTAAGCATTTCAGGGATACAATTTATAATTACCCAGTTCATGTT